ATTGTGTGACAGAGCTGTCCCATCATTATTTTAAAAGTAAATTACATTGATTTCCTTTTAAGTTTGTCAAATTACATGTGAATAGAGTATTTGATGTTTATTACTTTGACCTCCTTTGAAGTTTGGTGTGTGTGTTCAACGACACTCCTTCACTTATTTTTTGAGAATAAAATGGCCATATTGCCCTTCATTTGAGTGGGGGTGTTTTTAATAATATTAGACAAAAAAAAACTAACTTTTTATAAAAAAAATATTTAAAAATAAAGGTCATTATTGATTTTTTTGCACTAAAAAATGAGGTCAAAGTTATAAAGACCAAATTGTCCATTAATGTATGATATGCCCAAACCTCAAGGAAAGACAGCCTAATTTACCCTTATTTTAACATCATTGTGTAGTTTGTGACCTTATCAGTTTTTAAAACGTCACAAATAAAAACCCACTCCCCATGTGTCAAATATAAGGTAAATAAAGATTTGGAAAGTTGTTTGTTTGTCCCTATTCTAAGTATGTTTGTTATTTTTTTTTTGGGTTTTATTTTAATATAGTATATTTGTTGGCCATTAAATTTTTTTCCCTCAATATTGGCTATTAGAGTTTCAAATTGCGTCTCTTATAATGTATACAACTTCAGTGTGTATCCATAGTTATATATATATATCTGTGTGTGTCTGTTTATATATGTAAGACGTGTCTTTGATCATTAATATTTATATGCGCATTTGTTAATTACTATAATGGTTTAAACTAAATGATCTATCTCACTTCCTGAAACAAAAACAAGGAGAGAAATAAAATAATAATAATAATAAAAATTACAAAAACATTGTAGCTTTTGTACAAATCAAAATCTTATATTCCAATACCATCAAACTCAATGTGAAAAATAAAAACAAGAGACCTATTTTATAAAAACAAATAAGAGTAGTATTTTATGAAAACAAATAAAAAAAGTAATGATGCTTATCTAAGTTGAAATTTTATCTTTATCTTTGTCGGTTTTAAGTTAGATATTAAAAGTTGTCAATTATGCCATTTTTCTTTCTAAAAAAAATTATACCATTTTCCATTTAAGTTGGGGTGTCAATTTAAATACACAAAACAGTACTTAATCTAAATTGACACTGGAAAAACTCTCTCACATTATATTTGGGCGTACGTAAATGGTCAATAGTACACATACGCGTACAATAAAAATTTCAATGGTGAGCATTTTGTTTGATTATCATTAATAAATATACGAATTTTTTTTTGGAGAAACTTGTATCACAATGTGAACAAGAAAGGAATTCCAGAATGAAAAGTCATTTGTGTAACCTTCCACTTGAAGCTCCAAATCTCTCGCTTTCAACTTTTCTTTCCCGAGAATTCAGCAAAACGACAAAGCTATGGCATTTTCTTTGGCAATTGCAATACCAAATTCGAATGTATCCATTATGAGTTTTGATTGACAGTTTTTGCATTTTTTTCTTGAACGTTGTCTAACATTACTCGTATATAAATATTAAGAAACTTGTATCACAATGTGAATACGAAAGGAATTCCAAAATGAAAAGTCATTTGTGTAACCTTGCAAGGAAATTTCTTTGAAGCTGCAAATCTCTCCCTTTCAACTTTTCTTTCCCGAGAAAATTCAGCAAAACGACAGAGCTAGGGCATGTTCTTTGGCAATTGAAGTACCAAACTCGAACGTACCACCCATTGCGAGTCTTGATTGACAGGTGACTAATAGATATTTATATAAACTCATATTATTATTATTATTTTTTTCGTATCTAGTGTGACTGTCCTGTTTGGGTCAATCCATTTTTAAAATGTCCTCTAGTGGCTTTGGTTGGGTCTCCTCCTTAATTTTCCACCCAATTTTTATAAAATGAAGAACTAGAAGGTCAACAAATGCTGGCTTATTTGGCGCCACCACTATTATTCTTGATGGTAGGGCATTGATAGGCAATAGTGGCAAGGACATTGAATTTTTTTTTTGTTTTTTAAGAAGTTAAAGCAATTAGTCCTTTGGTAAGGACATTGAAATATGAACCTTAGAATTTGTTTTATTTAAATATCATGTTAATAGTACTTTTTTGAGGACTATACTATTTAGAATGAAAATTCTTTCACACTCAAAAGATTTTGATTTGTTAGGTAGGAAGGAAATAAGAGATGTGAAAAGAAAATAAAAAGAAAGGAAATAAGTGGTACCGAGAGAAAGTAGATAAGAATGAACAATTTTTTTTTATAGGACGGGAATGATAAAAGGAAATAAATGATAATAGGAGGGATGTGTTACTTTTTCCTTTATAAATTTTCATTATTAAAAAAATGGACGTTAGAGAGGAGGACTTAAATTATATAGATATGAAATTACAGTACTATTCTTCATAAATTACAATATTATAGATATTACTGGATATAATGATAAAAATAATTCAAATTTTTTTTTTTTCATCTCTTTTAACCAACATAGTAAATTGTGAATTTATTCTCTTTTCTTCTATCCAACTCAATAAAAAGAAGGAAAGACAAAATCTGTTTTTTCTAGATATTTTTATAATGGAGTTTTTAGAAAACTGAATCAAGCAAATTTTTTGTATAATTTATATTTTCAGTTATCTAAAAACATAAAATTGTTACCAAAATTACAAATCAAGCAAATCCTTATATTATGAGTAGATTTGAGAATCAATACGTCAACATCTCATAGTGATGGACATTTTATAATTTTTCTTAAAAATTAACTATGTGAAGCACCTAATTCCTACTATTAAGAATGAGACAAGATGTCTCTATATATGTTACATCCGATTATAATTCTATCTCACTAATATATTTATGCTGATAAATTTTCGTAACATGAATACATGAAAAGCACGTATGATAAAAATATCTCAATTAACATTATGCACTAAGATTTTTATATTATTAAATATTTATCTCGGCTCTTATTTTTCCACACATCTCAAAACACATTATGGGCCTACCCCAATTGATTTTGACAACAAAAACTAATTATACAATGAATAATGATTTATAGGTTCAATTCCACTTTGACCAGAGACTTGTGTTGAAGACGAAGACTTACCCCACATTATTGTTGCTCGTGTGATTTTGATAAATTTTAGTGAGAATAATTCAAATAGAAAAAAATGTGGGGTCCATGTTCGGGACCCACATAAATAACTAAGTGGGAAGGCGTGTTGGCCACTTTATCATATTTTCCTAATCCAAATGGTACCCGAAAATATGTTATTCCAACTTGGTTCATGTCAAGGAGAGAGATGTAGGTTAGGTATGTTGAGTTAGTTTGTGCTTATGTTTGGTTGGAGAGTACGACTGAGGGGAAATAAGGAGAGGGGGGATGGATAAATATTTTTGTGCTTAATTGGAAGAAAATAAAGAGAGGGAGATAATAAGAAGGGATGCCCTCGTTCTTTTATGTTTTTTTATTCGTTCACTTTTGGGGGAAGAGAGGAGAAAAAAAAAGACATAATTATCTATAAATTTTTAATTGACAATTTTAACCTTTTCAAAAAATTTGAAATAAATATTTAATAAGAGTATATTGGTAAAAAGAATATAAAAATACTTTTTCTTTCCCTTCTAACCAAATAAGAAAAAAAATATCACTTCATTAATCTTTTCTATTATTCATTTCATTAAAAAAAAAAAAAAGAAAAAAAAAGAAGGGAGGAAAACACCTTCTTTTTCCTATAGATACATCATCTATCCATTTTTCCATCCCTCCAACCAAATAAAGTCAATTATAATATTGTCACGGTGAATCTCATAACAATTATCATATGGTACTGTTTAGCAAATCCCAACATATATGATCTTCCTACATATAAAATCTCTCATTACAGCAAATAAATAATTGGTCCTCGCTAGATGTAAATGGATTGTATTTGCAGCTACAATTTTGGTCAAAACTCGTGCTTGAATGCCAGCCAATGTGATGATTCTAGTCGCCCACAAAATTTGATCTAAATGCTTGAATGTAGGATAAAATTGTGTGCGACTATTATTAATTACAAGCACATTTATAATTCACTCTATTATTTTAGCATTCATATCTCCCCTCTCTTTTCTCATACGTAATGCCCATCTCTGTCTCTACATTTAATATGAGATGAAGTTTATTGCATGCGAAACTCGGGAATGCATGTGTCAGTTGACTCAGTTTTGAAGATCCGAAATTCTTGATTGGGCTAATTTCAGTTATCTCTGTCAATATCTCATATAGACACTCTCTATATTTCATAATTTCACTTGTGAGGTTTTTGTTTATGTAACAAATTCTCTTTACCTGACCATATTGTCCTTCTAATGTCTTAAATGACAGCAAACATTTGATGGACAAAACGGTAAAAAATTAATTGACAGAGAAGGTAAGTGAGATTATAAAATATAAAAAAAATTTATGTGAGATATTGACAAATCTTAAAAAAAATGTAATTTAAATTTATAGCTTTTTATTTTTTTGTATTTTAAATCAAACCACGTTCAAATAAAGTCCATTTCAAAATAAAATTCAAAAGCGCTTTCCAAGCCACAACCCGCAGGGTGGGCTTGGGTTTCCAAATTTTTTTTCTGTGGGCCGGGGTAGGCCTTGTTGTGCACACTTATATTATGTGGGGCAGTTGTTCCACCTATATTTTGTACTTGTTGATAGATCAAATCAGTTGGGTCAAATGTAGGATAAATTTTAGATGGTCCCACCTGCTAATCACCATTGAACACGTAAGATAAAAACCTAAAAAATGCTAACACATTTTCGACACAATTGTTTCCAACGCATTTACAGTTGTGGTGTAACGGACTTGAACAAAATTAATATAAACTGACCGATACAGATCGCGTATCAGACTTGAAAAATGGTCGCGCATCGATTGATACGGCGAACCATAAATTACGTGTCCATTGGTGATTGGCCTGAGACCACTGGTCTTGGACCATATAATAACTTCTTGAAATGTAGAGTGCAATTTATATGTCTGGTTGACTACTAGAGCAACCACATTAACCATAGTAGTTAAATATATATTTACCTTGAATTACATATACATGGTGAATAATATCATAAAGCACAATTGTTAAGCCAGCTATTATACATCACATCACATGACATGCATGGACATGTTCATATTGAGTGAGAAGAGATAGAGTTTGACAGTGTTGTCGTTTATGGAGTATAGAAGGAAAGACCACACTTGCATTTCCAACCCTCAGGCTCATAGTTAGCATACTGGACACCAACATGGCCTGTGTTGGTAGGCACTTGAATGGCTTCACATGGTATGCATCCAAAACACTTGTGCTCACAACTTGGTGGCCTTGACCCTATTTTCCTCACCCCTTCATTATATGCTTCGTCATTCATCTTTCCTACTCCTTCCATGCTTTTATCACCCTTCAAAAGACAATTAACATTTTCCTTTTTCAGATAAATTAATATATATATATTTTAAAAGAAAAAAAGATAAAGAAAAAAGAAACACACACAGATAAAGTGAGAGAGAGAGACCTCTTTAGACCTCAAGGTAGCTTGCAAAGACTCTTGACCTGAAATAAAGCAAGTAAGGTTAGGATAGTAATTCAAAGCAATTAAGTGTTGTGTGTGTGTGTGTATATGTATGCGTATACATGTAGAGAGAGAGTTGTCTCAGTAAAAAGTAGTTATGGTGTTCCTTTACACCTACCACCCTTTTCATTTTATTGGAATTCCAATTAGACTTTAAGGATTTGAGAAAAAAAAAAGAAAAAAAAAAAAAAACAATAGACTTTAAGGACAAAACAATTGGCATGACATGGAAAAGTTGAAAAGAAGATCTATTCTGAATAATGAAGCTAGAGACTGACTAGGAGAAGCAATTCCAAGGTAAATAAAGATTTAGGATTAAGATCCTCGATAAGGTCAAGAAGCTAAAGCCAAACAAGAGGTGGACACTATGAGGGAAAAGTTGAAAAGAAGAATTTTTTTTTTTTTTTTTTTTTTTCTGAAAAGTGTTCCGAGGAGCTGAGGGATTCGAGTCTTGTAGTAGGCATTTGTGGATGCCTGTGAGAATTATAAAAAATAAAAAATAAAAGAAAAAAAAGAGCTGAAGCCAAAGGTAGTACGAGGTCTTCAAAAGCAGAGGAGGACAACTTATTTCTGTAGTTGTACATTAACTTAAACACCAGCTAATACAATATTGACAATAGAGACTCCAAATGAAATTTTAAAACAATAATGTCTGGGCAAGTGAGGAAAAAGGTAAAAAAGCAAAAACCATAGAGATGTGACTTTTGCAAGAGGGAAAAAACGGGAAATTATTTGCAAATGATTGGAAACTAATTAAGAAAAGGGTTAAATATATTTGTTTAAAAGGGAGGACAAGTAATAATAGTAGCTAACCTGGTTGATGAACACCACCATGATCATCATTTGGTGGAAAAGGCCTGCTTGTAACACATACCCCACTGATCAATACTTGCATAGCTATTAGGAAACAACATAATCTAATTCCCTTCATTTCTTCAAAGCTCAAATGATGATAGTGATAATGTGTGTGACTGTGTGTGTGTGTGTGAGAGAGAGAGAGAGAGAGAGAGAGAGAGAGAGAGAGAGAGGTATTTGGATCACTCAAACTGGATGAGGCCATGCATGATTGCTGCTGGCATATAAATAAGGAGAAAAGGCCTAGAAAAACAAATTCCATTTCCCCAAGAAGCAACCTAGAAAATTTCTTGGTTTTCTCAGTCCCTCAGAGTTGCATTGGTAGAGAGAGATCTTGCTTCACAAACAAGTGATTCCTTCCAACCTCTAAAAGATGGTATAAAAGGTTGTTTTTCTCATTGGACAACTCACTTGAAAACCTTATGATTAATCTGCTTTATTTCTCTGCCTTTCTCATCTTTGATTACTTGCCTTGAAAACAAGCCCCTCTCTGTGTGTGTTTGTGTGTCTAAAATCAGTCTGAAACAGTATTAGATGAGCTAGGCTAACAGAACCCTTTTTGGGTCTGGAAAACCTGTACTACCTCTGATAAGGTGTGTAAAAATGAAATCTAGGCTCATGCCTAGGACTGCAGAGTCTTTTTTTTTTTTTTTTTCTTGATAGTGTCATTCTGCAGTAAAAAAGAAGTAATCCATTGACATTTGACAGAGACACATCTTTTAATACATATATATAGGATCAGTGTCTGATCTGACATTCACTACTGGCAAAAAGATTGATCAGTTAGTTAATACTTTCAAGTTAGTATATATGCTTCAGTCAACTCCATTCAGGCTGGTGGGCTATGAACAGACTGGCTGGTGTACCTACATTTAACCTGGACCATCCATCTGTCCTCTCTAATTTGCTGCTGTGACCTGCCATTACGTTGTAATTATGTAATTTGGAGGTTTAATTCATCCATAACTCGGGATCCTCTTTCGTATACTGGACTGAATCCGTCGAATCCCTTCTTATGTATTGGACGTCTACAAGAAAGGTTGATATGTGAGAATCATACTCCATACTTAATGTCGTTGAAATCTCAATCCTTCTTTGTACACTGAACTAAATTGTCTGGTGAAGAGGGGATAATCCTAATTCATCCATGTATACTTAATAATGGAATATAAGTTCATTTACATTTTGAAGCACCTTTTCATGCAAGAGTAATTGACTTCATATCACACTGTCATCATTTAATTTTGTCCCTTTTTTATTTTTATTTTTGATGTGTATGTGTGAAAATTGATGAATGATTTATTTGATGGAAAGAAGGGAGGGAAGTGTTAATATGTAGAATACATAGTTAATGTTAAATACAACTCCGTAATAGATTGCATTTATGGTATGAAATGGGAAGCCAAACCTGAGAAGCAAGCTAGTAAAAAATGGAAATTCAGATTGCACCATTCAGTGCTCTCTCTCTAGCTTCGGACAAGTCTAGGTTATATAGGGAGTAGCCACTTTATTACATAACCATATGTGTTTGTGGGTTCAAGGGATGTTACGTAACAATGTTGGTGAAATAGCATCATTCAGTACAGCAGGCAAAGGCATCCCATATATCTTTCAGTGAGCTGGTTTATTAATATCATTTGAAATTCTCTCGTGCTAGGGTTGATAGCATCCCTCATTTATTTTGAATTTGGGATGGAAAGAATTTTAATATAATTTTTTTTTTTAATTTTAAATTCAATGCATTGATTCGCTATTTTCAAACATAACATCACTGATATGTGTAACAATTAATGGACAATCATATTTTTTTCTTGAGAACTCTCAATTTCTCATGTATCAAGACAAATTGAGAATTTCTATGATTGTCTATTGGTCGAAGCATCACATGCAAATTGAGAATTTAGTTGTGATTTAATTTCAAGTTATACAGCCATTTTAAAAAAAATTCGTGATCTAATAATACTATTCTACTTTTTTATTTTTATTTTATTTATTTTGGTCTCAATCCATTCCATATTTAAATTTTTTCCAATGTGTTTCTCTCTAATAAATTGCACAACCACCTGAGTTTTATTGTGAAACAAAAGCTACTCCTTTGGCAAAGCCAGTGGGCGCGACCCAGACAAAGGCCTACACAAATCAGAGGGAAGGGGGACCCAGCAAACAGGCCCAAAGGCCCTAGAAACAACACAAGATCACGGTTTTGCTAGAGAAACTTTATATATCGCTATATATTTATTAAAATTTTGCAATCAAGGGCATCACAAGCTGGAATAGCTCAGTTGGCTAGAGCGTGTGGCTGTTAACCACAAGGTCGAAGGTTCAAACCCTTCTTCTAGCGTACTTTCTTTTATTTTTTTCCAAGTTCCAAAGAACATTGTTCGTCTCCTTTTTTGCAAAGCATTACTTTGTTGACTTAGATTAATTATAATTAATCTTATTAAACCTTATTATCTTTGAATAATAATCCGAAAAGTATGTAATGGATCTAGCAATTTCAGAGGTCATGTGCCCTAAACAAGGCTAAGTATATTACATTATACAGGTCCTTTTGAAGTAATTCAACCATGAAATTCGTTAAAAATTAAACTAGCAAGCCTTTGAAAAACCATAGGGTTCATAGCTTTAGGCCTTAAAAAACAAAGAAGTGCATGGACTTTCAGACAATGCAAAACATTGGCAAGAAGCCCATTCTAGGACAAGCCCAGTAATCTAGTTTTTTATTATTAAGCTTGCTTCAATTTCGATGCTGTACATTCTATTTTTTCTATGAATTGAACTCATCTTACCTATAATAATAATAATAAAAAAAGTCCGACAATATAATTTAAGGACATTAGAAAGTTTCAACGAGAAACTTATGCTGACCATGGCATAAACTAGTCAAAAACCTAATTATGTGGACGCACAACACTTTGAATATACAAATGATCGGACAATACTTAGGTTTAATATACTTAGGTTCAATACTAATGTATTTTATCCTTATTATTGATATGAATCAATCACATATGGACATGTACTCTTTAATTAACAAATCAGAGATGGTGGAGTACATACTTACTTATCAAATTAGAGATGATGAGTTAATTCTTATCCCTAATTTAATAATTAAAACAGGACGTGCTCATTTGTTGTTAGTTCATATCGGCATTTAGGATGATGTTGATCTTCACTAGTGAAGACCTGCATCTTGTCCATAGTGATATAGGCTAGAGAGTATTTGAAGGGGAGTCAAACACAGACAATACTTAAATCCTCGCTGGTGAGATTGCATCTATTTGTTATTGATCTACATTAACGATGAAGACGATATACATTTTTATTGGTGAAAATATAAGTATTGTGTGACATAAACAAATCTACCTTGAATTATTTTGGTGGGATCTACTTGGTAGTTTAGCTCCCATTTTGATTGGTTTTTGTACTAACCTTAAAAATTGAAGCAAAAGTCCAACGTAAATGTCGTGTTTGTAAGAGAGCACTTCATCCTTCATATTGTAGGACCATCAAATCCTATTATTAAAAAAAAAAAAAAATTCATATTTTTATTCATGGATATGACTTGATGGCCTTATATAATAAAAATGAAGAAATATATATTTTTGGGATTTGATTGTTTTATAATAAAATAAAAATTATGACTTTTTTTTTTTTTTTTTTTGAAAGAAAGCACCCATCTTTATGCAACTAACATCCATCGAATTGATTCTTGACCAAAGGGAGAGTACGTGGGGTGAACAATTTGAGACCCTGCAACCGCCGATCAAATTGATTTTTGACTGTCGTTTGTGGCAAATGAATACCCAAGTAGTGCTAAAATTGGTCAATATATAGAACTGTTGGGTTTATTTCCTTCTATATGGAGAAAAGCCTAAGTGGGTTTTATTAAAAGCCCAAAGCCCAGCCTTTAGGGAAAAGAAAACCTTAAGGAAGTTAGTATAAAGAGAGAAAGAGGTTAGCTGCAAGTAGAAGAACAAAGAGAAGAAAAATGCAGGTTTTTTTTCCATTTTGCCCAGGTTTGATCAAACGTCCGATCCTGCTTCGTCCGTGGTCCGATCAAGCTGAAATTTGGAGGAGAGGTTCATGACTCAGTGATGCACAATCTGAACGGTGGAGATTGAGCTTGGGAACAGTGATTCGTGCCCGTGAACAGTAACCGGGTTTTGGTAGGAAAATGCAGGTTTTTCTATTCTGCCCAGATTTCATCAAACGTCTGATCCTGCTTCGTCCGTGGTCCGATCGAGCTAAAATTTGGAGGAGAGATTCACGACTCAATGAGTTAAAATCTGAACGGTGAAGATTGGATTTTGAGCTCGAGAACAGTGATTCGTGCCCGTGAATAGTAACCGGTTTTTGGTATTTTTCTCTCCAATTCTCTTTGTTTTTTGCCAAGATTGTTGCTATCTTGATAAGATGTTTTGTAGCCTCTAATTGCAATTAGAGAAGAATTTGTGTACCCATTATTTGGTTGATAGTGGAGAGACACATGCACGTTCTTTATGGAGTAAGCTTGAACAGCTATATGTTAGACAGACTGGAAATAATAAATTGTTTCTGATTAAGCAGATGATGGCTTTGAGATACCAGGACGGGACTCCTTTATCTGATCACCTGAATACATTCCAAGGAATTATTAATCAGCTGGCTGGAATGGGTATTAAGTTTGATGATGGGATACAATGGTTATGGTTGCTTGGTTCATTACCGGACTCGTGGGAGACGCTCAGAACTTCATTGTCTAACTCCGCTCCTGAGGATGCGGCAAGTGGCATGGGCCGGATATGGATCGCGGAAACGAGATCGGGTCGAATGATTGAAGAAGGATCCATGCCAAAGCACCCTGGAATGGGCCGAACATGGGGGGTCTACCGAGGAAGGTCAAGCCCATTACAAGACCCAGCCCAGAAGGAAGAGAACTTTCGGCTATAAGCCCAATGTAATTGGTTAACTGCAAAAAAGGGTCATGGCCTATAAATAGATCATGACGGGTGGAGAGAAGAGAGAGAGAAAGTAAGAGTGAGAGAGAAAGTAAGAGTGAGAGAGATAAAACGGAATGTTGTATCTTCAATTGGCGCCGTCTGTAGGAAACGAGGACGAAGATCAATTCGAGCCCGATCAGTACCATATTAGTTCAATCGAGTTTGTGAATATGTAGTGTGACTTCTGGAAGTTGAATCCAGATCAGTGAGATTGTAGTTTGTTCCGAGAGAATTCTTGCTTATTGTGGATTCTGAGGCATTTACTCTGGAAGGACGTAATTGTGATTTGCTCAGTTGCAGTCAGATCCGACGAGTTTGAAGCTAGAAAAGTTCAGATCTAGCAAACAGCGATCACGATTCGGTAAAGTTAAGCCCAGATCTAGTGGAGTTTGCATCGGTAACGCTTAGATCTGTTTCGAAGTTCGTAATTCATGCCTTTGCTTCGATCCGGAATCATGATAGGGGGTGACAACTCTAATACGGTTGAGAACGTCCAGCAAGTGAAACTTGATGAGTTGATGAACATGATCGAAGCTCTCCGGAGAGAAAATGCAGATTTAAGGAATGAAATACAGCGTCAAGAAGCTCCAGTAATTCCACGACCACTTCCGGTAGGCGAAGAAGGTGCACGTACCGATGCAGCACATCACGGTGAAGAGGTTGAAAACAAACTAGTTGATCCTCACTGTGAGGAAATCCGGTGAGACGGTTTGCCTCAAAATCTTCGTCGTATGGATGATCGTGAAGGATCGATTCACATGGATCCA